TAGTTTCACCCTAACTAAAGTGATAACCATATAAGTGAATCATAGACACTATGGAACGTGACTTGGGTATTGTCAAGTCCTTTCAGGACTGGAATTATTCTTTGGAAATACCATGGGAATAATATTCCATTGAATATTCCAATGAAATCCAACATTCCAATGAAAGCTCATGTAATGAGTAACCAGTTTTTACACAAAGAAATTTAATGCCTATGGTTTGTTTTTATATATATTACTCCTTTTCTCTTATGCTACTGCTTCGCTTTTTACTTGGACCAAAAACTACAGCACTAACCCCAAATCCTTTCACTTCGGAGATATTGAGGAATACAGGGAATTTCTTGTACAGTCTAGGCAGGTCTGATGAGTGGTAACTGCACTTGAAGTCAAGGTTTTACTGTCATTTTATAGTGAAAGTATCATAAGCATGTGGAACTGGAAATAGATTTTTCAGCAGGTGCTGTGGCATAGCAGGCTAAGGCTCCACTTGAGCACCAGAATCCCACATGGCCGATGGTTTGTCTCCTGGCTGCTCCTCTTCTGATCCAGTTCTTTGCTTGTGGCCTAGGAAAGCAGTACAAGATAGCCCAAGTGCTTAGGCCACTGAACCTGCATGGGAGACCTGGCTTCAGATAAGTCTAATTCCAGCCACTGCGACCATTCAGGGAGTGAACCATTAGATGGAAGACATTTCTGTATCTCCCTCTCTGTCTATAACTCTGACTCTAAAAGAAATAAATACAATCTGTAAAAAATAATTTTCATATTATAAGGTAAAACTTCCACATAAAGAACCAAGAACCAGAAATATGAATGAAATGACCCCAAAATCATGATTATGAATCAATTCAGCAAAAATTATGACTCTATTTTTCAGAGACCAATATAATAACACAGAAGTAAAACTTTAGAAAACAGTTTACTAACTCAAAGACTACCAACCCACCACAGATACATAATAATTATTTGCAATTACTACTTATAATACTAAAATATCAGAATTGCATAATGTGCCTATGATACACTAAGTCCCTAGAAGATTTATGGCACATGCCACCAAGGTAATGATAAATGTTCTAGAGGTATCCTTTTAACTATAACAGAATTATATCTAAGATAGTATTACAGGATAAATGAACAAATGAGAGCATGTATGAATGAATAAGCTCCTCCCTACTTGTTATTAATGTCATTTCATTCTTTTTTTTCTCTCTCTAAGGTTTCCCATGGAAAGAGATCATTACATAAAGGTCTTCGCTCACTCAGCTTTGGGTTGAATAACAAGAGGAGGAGGTAGAACCATCCAAAATACTTGTGGTAAAAACAGAGAGCAGGAGAAGGTATGTGCCTATTCCAGTTTGTTCTGTCTGCTCTCATCAAATCAGTAGGTTGCATAGGGCAATGTGGTGCTGGCACTTGTTTTGAAAAAGAGCAATGCCATAAAAAACCAGTTGCCATGTTCTCACCATTCCCAGCCATAGAGAAGGAATATTCTTGTCAAGCAAGCTTTCTTGTGAGATCATCACTGTGAATGAAGAATGACACTATAATGAGCAAAGCACTGCAAACTGGATGTCATATGGTCTAAGAGTATTCTAAGCATTGTTTAAAATTGAAGTGAAGTGTGGGTCTTTGATACACCAGTGAAAATGCTGCCAGGGATGTCTGCATCCCATATTAGGGCACTGAGCTCTAGTCCCGCCTCCACTTCTGCTTCCTGCTACTGTGTACCCTGAGACAGAAGCAATGAGTGGGTCAACAGCTTGGGTCCCTGCCACCTGTGACGGAAACCCAGGCCAAGCTCCTCACCCCTCATTTCAGCCTGGTCCAAGCCTGCCTGTTTGGGCATTTGGGGAGTCAACAATGGATGGAAAAATCTCTCATCTCTCCATCTGTCTGTCTGTGTCCCTCTATCTTTCTGCCTTTCAAATAAAATGAAAATAAATTTTAAGAGTTAAACAAATTTGCAGTAGGAATATCAGTATCAACAGAGAACAATCCCAGATCTTCTAACACAATGGCTCTGACAGTCTGTGATAAGAGAACAGAATACCAGTCTACAGTAGCTCTACAGTAGTTTATATTCACTGGTGGCCATATGAGAAAGTCAATGTTCACCCCGAAAGCCAATAGTGGCAATGATCTTCCCCTATCAATCTGTATACTCCTTTGGAAGAAGAATCAGAAAAGACAATCTATATAAAGAGAGAAACAACTAAGATTTAAAAACAACTAAGAATTAAAAAATTGAAACTTAAAATATATTTACCTCATAGGGAAACTATGTTTATTATAACAATAAAGAAACTGTTTTAAGCTGGAACTGGGTTGTGGGTCTGTTCCTTTAATTGGGCAGGTTACTTAACTTTTCTGTACCTCAGCTTCCTAAGGATAATTGTACCCGGGGCTAGTTCAAGTCCCAGCTGCTGCACTTCTGATCCAGCTTCCTGCTAATGAGCCTGGGGAAGCAGCAGAAACTGCCCCTAGAAAACTTCGAAGCAGCTCCTGGCTCTGGCTTCAGCCTGGTCCAGGTCTGGCTGTTTTGGCCATTCAGGAAATGAACCAGCAGATGAAAGAGATCTCTCTCTCTCTCTCTCTCTTTCTTTCACTACCCCCTCTTTTTTTCTATCTCTGACTTCCAAATAAATAAATAAATCTTAAAAAAATTGTACCCATTTTGAAGGGAATTTGAAGCTAAGATTAGATTATAGAAAAACACTTATTATTTTTTCTTTCTCCCATGCAGAAATTAAAGTGAGTAAATACCCCACTCTGTGTTGAAAATGATGAGGGAGTCTGAGTCATGTGATCAACTTTACATAAAGAATATGAAGAGTAATAGATCTTTTTTATTATTCTCTCTATAGGTCATAGATTAACAGAGTAGATGCAGTGAATGAATTGAGAAGTATATGTATATGAAGGCAAATAAGACTGAGAAGGCCAAATTCAGAAGAAACAAACAGAACTAAGCCTAGACAGATGGCCAAATGATTGACTGAATGTGAGACTATGTATATTGCAAATATAGCAGTATATGGGTGCATATTGTAGTTTTAAGTTAAATTTTTATTTTTAAAAGAGTAACTTCCCACTGATACTTTCCAAATGTACAGAACACTAGTAAGATAATTTCAAAGAAAAATGTGAATCAGATTCTGTACCCCTTGCAGCTAAGATCTTTCACATAATTTATAAATACTGTTTGCATGATTGACAGTCCCTTGCCCCAGTTACACCATAGTAGAAACATCTGTGCCATTTCATCAAAAACATTTTATAAGGAACTTTTAGTGAATATATAATAATGACTATATAGTATCTGATCAAACAATTGCACAGATTGACTTTTTATTTATTTCACAAACATCCAGTCTTGGCAGGGTAATAGCTGTTTTTTGTTTTGTTTTTAATGTGTGTACTTGGCTTGCCTACCATCTCCACTGATTCAATAAACACCAACATAGATGTTGATGTGAAGCTATTTCATTTACGTAATTAACATCCATAATCAGTTGACAGAGACAGTATCTTGGATATTCAAATAGGTTTTATTTGATCACTTGAAAGGCCTTAAAACAGAGCTGAGGAGCAGGCTTGAGGCCTAATGGTTGATGCTGGTTAAAATACCTGCCTCTCATGTAGGAGTTTTTGTGTTCAATACTTGGCTCCAGCTCCTGGCTCCAGTTCTGCAGACTATGGGACACAGTGGTGATGAGAGACACATTGAGATCCTGATTTCTGGCTTTGGCCCAGAAAATGAGGCCACTTAGGGAGGACACCAGTATATGAGGACTCTCTCTCTCTTGCTCTCACAAATGAATATAAAACACACACACACACAAATACAACAGAGCTGAAGTTTCCTTGAGGAGAAAACAATGTCCCCGTAGACCACAGCTTGGCCTACACCCAGAGTTCCAGTTTGTCCTCCTGACTGCCTACTTCCTTGGGAAGGCATTCATTCCAGCACTCTCTAAAATCTGTGATATAAAAAAATGACATATTTTATGTATATAACCTATGCATGTTTCCCTCTATGCATTATTTTTTAACATTTTATTAAATACAGTATAGATATAATGAAATGCACTTTAGTGTATAGATCACTTTTTTATCATATAATTACCCTCATCAACACCTGAATTAAGAACAAAGCATTGCTATTACCCCAGGAGTCCTAACTATTCTCCCCTCTTCATTTTTTTAACATGTGTAACAACATTATACCATCATTTACATGTTATGATTCCCTATCTGCTTAAAATCATTTATAGATTACTTACAATATCTAAAGCAATGCAAATCTTATATTGATAGTTTTTATAATGTACCATCTAGGCAATAATGACAAGAAAAAAGCCTTCACATGTTGACTACACATGCAGATTTTCACCCCCAGAAAACCCCTGCAAACAGAGAACAATTGTATCTCCTACTTATTTTGCTTTCCTGATGGAGAGATAGAATCTTGCTTTTAGGTGTAACACTGTCAGACAAAGGTATTTTAAAGTACAAGATGAACAAATATGGGAAGCTCATCCACCTGGTGAATGCATTAAGTGCATAAGAAAATAATTTTTTAAAAAACTGGAAATATGAAAAGTCACAGAAAACATCTGTAAGTACTAAAAATAAAATTCCAGAGAAACAGAAATATTATGTTGACTATGACCCATCCTAACCAAGCTTTGCTTTGGAGGCAATGAGGAAAGACTGGGGAAGATAAAGGAAAAAGAAACAGATGCTGATTGACAAAAAGAAAGAAATTCTTCAAATTCGAGGCTGGGCTAAGAGCTGAGAGTCTCTGCAGGGCACCGTAAAGCCAGTGTAGTCCCCTGCATGCTGAAATGCTGTAGCAGCAGGATAGGTGTGCACATGGATTGCCTCTCTCTTCGCATGCGAGGTACCTAGTTCTGAAGAAAGGCAGAACACTTTGCCCCTGAAAATGCAAATAAACCTCCCTCAACAGAGCCCCCCTGCTCACCAATGATAAATGGAAGCCTTGAAGTGTTTTCTCTGGTGAATTACATCTTAGAATTACACTTTCTATTTCTGGGAACTCCACATTCTCACCTACTGCCTTGTTCAACATTCGCTGCCTCTGGCTGCAGAAACTGATTAGGAAGCTAGGCCAATTGGAGATTTGAAATAATACTTTATTGACTTTTTTTTTTTTTATGAAGGAGACATAGCCAGCAGAGAAATGTGTAGTAGCACTCTCTACTTGAATGTAGTTAGGGTCATACCTTGTTTTCTTTGTTTCGTAGAAACAAACCAAGAATACACCTTGCTTCCTTTTCAATTACACGCAGATAAAATATATTGGATGTTACTCATTTTAAAGGCCTGAGGGAAGAGGAACAACACTAAATTGTATTCACTTTGCCCTTTTTGGATATCCCTTAAGTGTCATCAAAAAGAATTCTCCAGGACAAGTTCCATGAGAGATGAGGACACTGAGGCCACAGAAATTAAGTGCCTCATTCAAGGCAAATATGAAATTTTAACTAAGAATTGCTATGCTTTTACTGTCTTGATGCCACTTTAGGAAATGGATGAATTCTCTGAAATTTCCATTCAAATTAAATCATGTTTTACTAAACATAACTATGATTCTACTATAAATAATTCTACACCAGAAACTTCTTTTATAGAACAAGCGCCATCCTTACCAGTGTTACCCATCCCCTTTTCCATTTATCCTTTCTTTTTAAATTTGAGAAAGAGATAAGTGATCCTTTTCTTCCTATCATACGCATGTACTTCATAAAATCATGGGAAAGTAGAATTAAAAGGCGACTTTTATTTTGCTGTAAAATAGTATGCATTCCCATGAACTTTTTTTTTTTTTTCCAGGCAGAGTGGACAGAGAGAGAGACAGAGAGAAAGGTCTTCCTTTGCCGTTGGTTCACCCTCCAATGGCCGCCGCAGCCGGCGCACCGCGCTGATCTGATGGCAGGAGCCAGGTGCTTCTCCTGGTCTCCCAAGGGGGCAGGGCCCAAGCACCTGGGCCATCCTCCACTGCACTCCCTGGCCACAGCAGAGAGCTGGCCTGGAAGAGGGGCAACCGGGACAGAATACGGCGCCCCGACTGGGACTAGAACCCGGTGTGCTGGCGCTGCAAGGCGGAGGATTAGCCTAGTGAGCCGCGGCGCCGGCCTCCCATGAACTTTCTAAAGATGCTTTGTATACAGAGATGTCACAAATTTTTGTACCAACATAAATTTATCTTTTACTTTCATTTTCCACGAACTTTAATAATGTTTTAATTTATCATTTATTTGAGAAGCAGAGAGAAAGAAAGAAGGGGGAAAATGGAGACAGATGCAGCTTCTATCTATGACGGCAGGGGCTGGGCTGGAGTCTGAGTCAGAAGCCTGGAATTTGGGTGGCAGGAACCCCACTACTTGTTCCATCATGGCTGTCTCTCAGCCTCAGCGTGGCTAGAGTCAAAAGCCAGGGCTGGGACTCAAACCCATGCTTCTGGAATGGGACGTATGCATCAGATGCACCTGCTCCTCCATGATCTTTGTGAATTGTCCTCTTACTCCCTCAATTTTTGTACCTCTTAAAATTAGTAAATACAGGTAGAGAGAACATTGTTGAAGCTAAATCAAAGTAGTGTCCAAGTCTATCACAAGGTTATTGATCACTTACAGAGAAAACATTTCCTACAAGGGAGGTGTGTCTAGGTGTTCAGACCTAGACATGGCAATGGACTACTCAATGCAGACATTATCCATATAAGCAAGTCCTCTTCTGCTGCACCTCCCTCCACTACCCAGGGTAGACATTAATATATCTAAAATTGAAAAAAAAAAAAAACAAGGAAAAGGAAATAATAAAAGATAGGAATAACTAAGTGGGTAGTCATTATCTTATTATTTGATTATGTTTTTATGAATTTTTTGAACTTGAGAACCCTATCTATTTTTAGAAAATTTTCAAGGTTATCAAAGTGTGTATATTGGAAAATGTCTTTTTTTAAAGAAGTGTTTTTTTCAAAACATGTAAGATAGGAATAGTAATTGAATGACATTTGATGTGTTTTATAAATAATGTAAAAATGGTTCTCTGGATCTTCTTTATGTTTAGATTAATATGTGCTTGACTTATTTATAGAAATGATACACCAATTGTTTACTGTAATAAACAATTGGACTAGTTTACATTTAGAGGTGTTTGAAATCTGGGGTTTCCCTTTCTAACCATTATGTTCTCTTAGGTGATGAAAAACAGGTTTTCTGAAGAAAAGACACTTTTGTTTTCCTTGTTTGAAAGTGTCTTTTTTTGCTATTTTTTCTAGCTGTAAGCAGGTGATGAGAGATCAGGAAGGGCATAAATCCCTCACGGACACCAAAAGGAGTCCTAGGACTTCTTGAATTCTCTGATGGCTCAGATTTTCTTATTTACATGCTTTCGGAGAACTAACCAGGTAGCTGCCGTATCATGTCTGTGTCTGGATAAGCTTTTGTATTAGATTGCTGTGTAGGGATTAAGTCATGAAGGCTATTGACTTGGACTTCTTACAGCATTCCTGTCAGCATCCTCTGAGCAGAAAACAGAAACTAGCCCCTCCTGCTCCCCTTATGATAACAATAGTATCAAGGTCAATTTCTAAGATCACTGGATTTTGACTATAAGAAATACATTTTTCTTTGAGTTAAATTCCAAATCTCTAATAGTTCATAACATGTTTGGTCAAGCTTTATGTTAACTCAGGGAGCTTCCCAACTAAATGGGAAAATTAAATTTCTAGAACAAATTTAAAGCTTTTCAAGAGATTTAAGCTCGCTGATGAACTTCAAAAAGTGTGATTTGCATATAAACAATTGAAGTGCCAATTAGAATTAGTTTTCTTTAATGAAAGCAAATTCTGAAAGATTTCCAAGGTGTGACAATATTTTAGTCTAATTTTGAAATTGGTTTGTGCTTGCATGAGTTATGCACAGTTTAAGTACTTAAATTCTGATGATTTTTCATTATATTTACCATCTCAATCTCTTTAAAAAAAGGAAAGGAGGAATATCTTGTTATAGAAATACAGTGTATTTACAACTTCTATCTCAAATCTCACACCTTGGGAGGCCCCAATCTGCTGTTCATTTTATAGTGCTATGTGAAAAACTTAATGAATGAAATATGGAAACTCAATTTTTAGACTGCTTGCAGAGTCAGAAAATAGCTCCCCTAACAAATAGATAGCACTGAGTGTTGCAAGAAGGGATTTATTCAAGAACATACTATTGGATACTAAGCTTGTCCATTTTCTACCAAGACCGAATGTATTGACCCAGTTTATTGATATCCCCTGTCATTGTTAAGTCCAGGAAAGGCCTTACTCCCAGGTATGGGACATTAAAGGTGACCTATGTATTATAAGTCTCTAAGACTACCATCTGTCCAGTCAGAATAGTAAAGTTTGAATCCCAAATTTGTCACCTCCTATATGACCTTGTGAAAATCACAAATCTTTCATAAGTCTTACTTGATACTATCAGAAATCTCATTCCAACAACTGTGGCAAAGGTAGGAGAAAATGAATTTAAATCCTGAGGCATTAGCCTTTCAACATCACACCTGCTTATAAAGGTTAGCATGTATTCATCTAGCAAACTAAGTATAATAATTAAATAAATGAATTATATTAACAGATTGTAGATAACTTTTTTGTTTCTGATACATCAAAATCTATATTAAGACAGGCAAATTTTGTTGTAACAACAGATTACTACATTAATGACATTCGTTATGTAACAATAGATAACTGAACCAGAAAATCTTAAAAGCAGGAGGGCTCTAATGAAATAAAAACGTAAATATATGTTGTATTAGCTTTGTACTAGGTGGTGGGCAAAGGCTGGCAAAGTGACAACAGGCTGTTTAAGGTTGAAAGAACTGCAGACGAAATGTTAGTGGTCTAGAAAGGAAGTAACAAAACATCACTGCGGGGGTGGAACAAAACTCTGATCTGTGTGTTTCAGTAGTGAAACAATTAGCCAATCCACCTCCCATTTACTTGGAAAATATGTAATGTGTTCAAAGAACTTAACAATCTAAGGAGATCTCTAGGCTCAATATTGTAGATTTGTTTCATTATATGTGACAAGGTACAGGAAGAGAAAAATGAACCAAGTTGGCAATTTTCCATTGATAACATTAATAGAAAATATATACAACACAGAACTTACTTGGTCTGAGAAGAAAACTCCATTTTCTCCAGGCTCTTCAGTGAGCAAAAGATTCTCAAAGTAAACAATGGCCTCACCATAAGGCTTCAACTTAGTGTAGTTCTAAGATCCCGTCAGTATTTCAAAAATTTGTGGAGATACCTAGTTTGCCCCACTGGCTAGACAAGTGATTTCTTTATTTTTTTTATTTATTTTTATTTTTTGACAGGCAGAATGGACAGTGAGAGAGAGAGACAGAGAGAAAGGTCTTCCTTTGCCATTGGTTCACCCTCCAATGACTGCCGTGGCTGGCGCGCTGTGGCCAGCGCACAGTGCCGATCTAAAGGCAGGAGCCAGGTACTTCTCCTGGTCTCCCATTGGGTGCAGGGCCCAAGGACTTGGGCCATCCTCCACTGCACTCCCGGGCCACAGCAGAGAGCTGGCCTGGAAGAGGGGCAACCGGGAAAGAATCCGGTGCCCCGACTGGGACTAGAACCCGGTGTGCCGGCGCCGCAAGGCGGAGGATTAGCCTATTGAGCTGCAGCGCCGGCCCACAAGTGATTTCTAAGAATCTTAAAGGTGATTTTCCCCCAATCCTCTACTTAAAATACAAAGAAGTCTATTTCAGAAAAATTACTGTAGATATGGCTTTCAGGTTATGGGATAAACTAACCAGTTGAACTAAAACTGGGTAGAGGCAGATCAAAATGAAAAGATGTCTCTGTCCACACAATTTTATATGACCTTGAAGCATCCTAAGAATATAAAGAAAATACTTATCTTCAACACTGGTAATTTCTTATAGAAATGTTTGGATAGCCCACAAAGTAGAATGACAATTGACAATAAGAGATTTGAAAATTATATATTCTGGAAGCATGCCCTGTCCTTGGAGTAGGAAGTATTGAGAACATACATCTAGTTATTGGCAGACATATAATCAGAGATTGATTCTCATTTCCTGCCTTTTTGAAAAGCAGGTTTTATTATAGTTTTCCTGTTCTTATCTTACCATTGTATATTGACAGTATGAAGGTGTATAACTTGACTTTAGTTTGTGACTCCTTAGAAAAAAGTAATAGACTAAAGCAACCACAAGCAAGAAGCTTTATCTTTCCGCAGAACTGATTTGATTAGGTAACAAGATCACGAACTTAACGACTAATGTCAGCTAATATATTGCAAGCAGTGAGAGGTTATGAGTGTATTTTATAGATGGAGAGACATTAATTATTGGAACCAGGGTATAGACTAGAATAAAGTGTTGTATTCATGGTTTCTTTTCAGTGACTTACTTGGTATTTACGCATTAAGGTAATGATGGTTTTTCACATCGACTCTGAGCTTGCTCATATGACTTATCTTGGCCGAAGAAACATCAACACATCCAACACAAGCTATGAGTGAATGATTACACACCTGGACTTGTTAGTTGTCACTATATAAAGAAAAGACACGGTTTGCACTATGAGTGAAAAATCACAAAGTATCTCCAGGTAGCCTAGTCATCCCAACTAAACCCAGCCTTTAAGGAAGTTGCCAGCTGAAAGCAGTCACATGGCTTCTTTTGCTAACTCAGGTGAGATCAGCAGTAGAAACTTTCAGCAAACAAAATCAAGAAATACATAATTTTTTTTTTTGTTGAGGCCTCAAGTTTGGAAATGATTATACAGCAACAGGTAACTAATGCAGTTACTAATGCTGCAAAATTTTAAATGTATATGCAATACACAATGTGAGTATTTGATACATATGTATACATTTTGTAGTGACTATCCTAATCAAGTTAATTAACA